TCTGAAAAACATTCTATAATTGACCTAACATTTCATTAATCTTTTCGACCTTTTTCTGAGAGAAAAGTTGCTTGATTAGAGACACGGTTGTCGTTTGTCGAGACGAAGGAAAAACTCTTGACAAAAAAGAAGCGAAAGAAAAGCAGCGTTGGTCAACTCGACTCGTTGACTTGACTCTCGTTGACTTGATTGATTGACGATGTCGCGTCGCATTCCTCGCAATGATTTTTTTTAATAAAAAAAAAAAAAGAAAAAAAAATGGACAAAACTAATTTATAGTTACAATGTCTCGCTTACGAAGAGGATTAACTCGACGAGAATTATCGATGAGATTGTAAATATAATAAATACAATATACGATACTTTATAACCAGAATTTCTAGTTTTACCATTTTTCATAGCTATTGGTTTAATTCATAAATCATTGCCGTTTTATTGTAATAAATTGCTTACTTATACCTTATATATATATATATATATATATATATATATATATATTTATATGTATATTATATATTATATATTACAGTAATAATAACTATACGTTTATATTTTCAGTATCGTTTGTATTATATTGTAAACATATAAAACAAGAAAAGAAAGTGGAAGAAATGAAATGAATTCATACGTCTTGTAGCGATCTGAGCTAACAATAAGCAACAAGTTTGAAAAGTAGATAATCGTTGGATCATACTTACTAGGAAGACAATCGAAAATCGATAATGGATAATACGGCCGATAAGAAAACCAACGACCTTCGCATATGTGTGAATAATCGAATGTTGTAAATAAGTATTTCGATGGGGAAAAAATCGCAATGTCTTGATCATTGTTATCTATTAGTAAACAAAAATGTGCATTTTAAATTTGTAAAATTCACTTTAATATTCATCTTTTATCTATCACTATGTTGATCATCGAAATAAAAAACAATAAATTGAAAAATTTACTCATTTCTTATTTCACAAAAAAAAAAGGAAACTCGAAAGATACTAATTAGAAAAGACTAGAAAATAGAATGGTGTATGGTAGTTATCGTTGTTCGAAGGGAAAAACTTCGGAACAAAAAGGACGTTCGAGCAATGTGAAATAAAAAATTTCTCTCGCGATCAGTAGAGACTTGGGGAACAATTCGGAAACGTCGTCGACGACGTCGCCAACGAAATCGACGGCGTGAAACGGACGACGATGAGACGGTTAATTACGCGCTAATTAACGTCGAAAAGATCGTCTCTCGTTTGCCTTCTCTTTTCCTCTTTCCCTCTTTTCCATCGCCTAGTAATCTTTACGGACAGGAATGTAATTAGTTTTTCGAAATCAATGAGAACACGACGGCGTCGTGCTGTTCTCGTAAAAACCTCACGGAATTGCTTTTTACGTTCTCGTTCGACGAAACTTCCGATGGAATATCGTACATTCGATGAACGCGACGAACTAGTCGTGTTGAGTACGTGGTTCAACGATAAAAAAAGATCAGAGCTATTTGGAAGATGGTGAGAAACGGGGTGTAAAAGGGGTTTTAGAGGAGGTTGCTAGTGAAAATGGGGTGGGTGATACTCGGGAGATGGGACGCGTCAACGTACGAAAACAATAGAACAAAAATGGCGGGCCGAGCGGAAAATTTTTGACCTCTCAACGATACCATTCTCGAATGGACTAGAGAATTTTGTCAAAAATACTCGCGAAATGATACGAATGGCAGTGCTGCTGGATAAACGAGGGCGGGGGATCAGGCGGAGAAGACAGGCAGAATGTGGAAACGTGGAGAAAAGAGATTGGCTCTCGCTTCCGCGAGACAATAAAGGAGAATCCGAATAATATTTTCTGGCCGCGCTTCAACAAAAATAATCTCCTCCTCTGTGAGAAGGAGATTAAAGACGACGAGTCTCGAGGCTGCCGGTGAATCTTTTTTCTTTTTCTTTCTTTCTTTCTTTCTTTCTTTCTTTCTTTCTTTCTTTCTTCCTTCCTTCTTTCCTTTTTTTCGTTTTTTTTCTTTTTTTTTTTTTTTTTTTTTTTTTTTGAAAAAATCCGAATAGCACGAGAAAATATTCTCACGGTTATACATATTATATCCACCATATATATACTTGTACATGTATATGTTTCTATGTTGACGCAAGAAATGAAAAGGATCATGTTAGAAATACGGAGTTATTTCGCATGCAAAAATAAGATGTTACATTATCCGTTAACACGTTGAATGTCGTAAGAATCACAGATGACATACAAATACTGAAAGTATACTTTAATAAAAGTATAATGTTGAATTTTTCTGAATTTTTTTATCTACTAACAGTTATGAAAAATATATTAAATGAATACGATAATCTATATAAAATCACATCGGGAGTCAATCTCAGTTATATTAATTTCTGAATATATAAAAAAAGTTTTCTAATTAACGTAAATTATGAAAAAAAATTGTTTGGATCTCTCTCTCTCTCTCTCTCTCTTTCTCTCTCTCTCTCTTTCTCTCTCTCTCTCTTTCTCTCTAGTCGTGATATGACTAGTATTCATAAAAGAAAGAGAGGAAGATCAAGATAGATGGACAGTAAATTAATCAGGTTAAACAATGAGATTTCCACAAGTGTTTTTTATCGTGTTCAGCTTTCTAAAAAAGAAGATTGACCTACGACTCTCTCTTTCTCTTTGTCTTTCTCTTTCTCTATCTCGAGTTTTCTCACTAGTCCAAGTGTCGCTTAAAAGCGTTAAACGACGAATCGACCAGCAGCGAGCCACAGGACGATTAATTTTGCAAATTAAAACATCTTCGTCGAGAGACAGCCGCTGAAAGAATTGTAATTCTACCATCGTGTCTTACAATATCCTCGCTTTTTCAATTATCCTCTTATTCCGCCAACAGCAGATCGTCATGCTAAAGCATACTCTAACTTATTCACCAGATTTTTTCGACGAATCTTTTGAGAGATCTCTTCGGTAGAACTCTTTAACGATATTATATATATATACACAAAATATTTCAACGTAATACTTGTGAATTAATTATCACAAAAACCTATCGATAATTATTATATTCTATTATATATTAATTAATTTTAATATTTTAATATTATATAATAATCTTAATATATGAAAATGAAAATAAATAATATAAATAATCATAGTTACATTAAAAAAAAAAAAATATTATTAATTCAATCACAGTTTCATATAAATTCGATATAAATAACTCTTCTGACGAAGCAGAGAGTATTAAGAAAACTTGGAGGAAAGAAAGAATCGGACGGCCAAGCAAATTTGTCAGGGTGGAAGCTGAAAAGTACTTTGAGAATGAGGTTGGCCAGCCAAAAGGGTTGATCCTAATATCTTCGAAAATGGGAAAAGACGAAAAATGAGGTAAAAGAGTAGGAGAAATTTAATGGTACGCATTCAATTGCCGTTCGAGTCCGAAAATTGCAGTACGCCCCGTTGATATCATCCCGATTACGTCACCGTGCGGAATAAACGCTTTCCGCGTAGAAGCACGCGTGCGCATTCATACATATATATGTATGTACGTCGTAGCAGAGATGATCCGAAGGAACCTTTTGCCGATGAAATACATACCGACGATTCGTTTGCGAAAAGGCTACCAGCTACGTGGCTGGTAAAGTAAATCCTTTACTCGACGTTAACTCGACTCAAGCTCGACCACGAAATCGGGTTAATCGATTTCCAGTTATCTTCTCCCTCTATACTTTTTCTCATGTATCGCTTGCAACATCCAAGCTAATGATTTTTTGCATCATCTTGCACCTCAAGCTTAGAGAAACTTTTAAACCTCTTCCCTCAACGCTTTCTTTCACCTATTAGTATAAATCTATTATTAGATTTATACTAAATAAAAAATACAATATAAAATTTCTTGTTAAGTTATATGATTAGAGCAACTCTTTCCAATAATTTGATCTATATAATAAAAGAATGTGAAAATTTTGTAATAAAAATTCTATCGAAGCATTCGTATCTTCATAATCGTTTCTTACAAAGAGAAAAATTCTATATGAATCCGATACTACCGCAATTTCGATGGAGTATCGAGACCCATTGAAATGCGATCTCGACAAGTTATCGTAGTCGGCATCGTAAACGAGCGATCAGGTCGGTCACATTAATCCCAGGCAAACCGTAAATCGTGAGAGGTGGCCGTTACTTGCGTAAGTAAGCTCATAATCGTTTCGTCTGCTCCCCGAGAGAGAGACAGAGACAGAGACAGAGAGAGAGAGAGAGAGAGAGAGAGAGAGAGAGAGAGAGAGAGAGAGAGAGAGCAAGGAAAAGGATGAAAGGGAAGTTCAAAGAGGCGCACGCGCCCCCGAACTTTGGAGAAATAGTAGACGAAACTAGTCTGACGTCACCCAAGGCGCTTCTACCCACCCTGGACCACGGAATGGCCCGGACTCGCTATTTAACGTGTTTACTCCATAGCCTCATTGAAGTTTCGAAAACGTGTCCTCGACTCCACCGACTTCAAAGACAAGTCCTGTCGTTAAGCCGTTTGAATATTTGAAGAACAAACGAATCTAACTTTCATTACTTTCTTTTCTCTTCTGTTGGAGGGAATGTTCAAAAATATCTTTATAAATTTTACAATGAAATTATCTATAAATTGTTTTGATATTTAGTCGATTTTCAAATTCATCAAGTTGAAATTTTCTATATAAGAAAGAAAAAAATAAACCTAATTAAAGAGATTTTAATTATCGTGAAATTACCACATCTAATAACTCTTGGACTACAATCTTTTTATTTTCTCTTTGTTAACCATATCCTCTCGGTAATGAGCAATTTCATATTGACTTTCTTTCGAATCCATTGGAAAGCTATTATTTTATTAATCTCCGGTTTTCAAATGAATTCTGCCTAATAAATAAATCCCTAGGATAACTAGAGTCCGATCCAAAAGTAAAAAAAAAAAGAAAAAGAAAAAAAGAAAAAGGAATAAGAAAAGAAAAAAAAAGAAAGAGATAAACCGATGATAATAAACTCGAAGAAATACATACCTACGTTTGATATTCAATTTGAAGAATTTTTTCACCGTATCCTCTTTGGGAGTACCCTCGAACGTGTACGAGGTCATCGGGTCAGTGAAAAGGTCGCGATTTAAATCACATGGGCGGGGCTGAAGGTCCTGGATATCAACCAACAGTCGCCATCTGGAAACCGTATCATGAACCTATCAGTTATCATGGAGGGATTAAAAAAGCGTAGAAGAGAACGAAATCTCGAAAAGGAAGCGGTAAAATACTACATATCGTAGTTTCAAGCAGGTAATAAAACTTTCTTTCTCTTGAAAGATTTCGCTCTTTCTGTACTCTCTCTCCTATTTTGTATGTATATGCGCGCGCGCGTGTGTGTGTGTGTGTCTGTATGTCCGTGTGTGTATATATATATGTATGTATGTATGTATGCATATATGTATGTACATTCTTGTGAAAAATAAGAGTTCACGCACAATAACATTACTTTGCTATGTGCATCAACGGATTTATTCTTTTATCCAAGCTTACATTCCAACCTTTGATCTCAAAGTGAGTTATATGATCCTTCATCATTTTTTTCCCTTCGCACAATACCAATCTCTCCGCTTCATTACTTTCGAAACGCTCAACCTTCCGTTTTAAAAATTACCTCCTTCCTTTAACATTTTATAGATGATAACGTTTTTATGAAACGCTCGAGACTCATCAAATAATTTATCTTAGATGCAAAACTTAACAAACTTGTAAGGAAACGTCGTTAGAAATTTGTAGGAGCAAAAAAAGTGATTCTTTTTTTATGGTACTTAATATTTAATCTTTTATATTTATATTTTTATTATATATACTTAATCTTATTAATAATTAATATACTATATCAATAATAAAAAAAATATTTCGAACCTATTACTATTATAAATATAAGTTAGCATTCTAAAATTTTAGATAATTATTAAATAGATATAAATTCTGTAATTCCGATTTTTGATACGTAATTTTTATTGTCTCCTATTATTGTGAATATATACCATGAGGTCTTAAATATATTTTTGACAAAATTTCAAAAAATAAAGCAAATACTAATGTATAATAAATACACAAATATACGAATATCACCAAAACCAATCATTTCATATATCAAAAATTCATTTTATAATATAATATAAAAAATCCTTTTTATAATAGACTTTCCAACATTAGTTAAGTATCTAATCAGATACATTGAAAAAGTTACTTTTAATGATGCCTTATAATATACTATAACATTATTAGTTATTTTAGAAATATCATTCGAGTCTTCAAAATTTTATCGTCAATGATCAAAAAATAAACCTATGATAACGTTAACATGTTATCTATCTTATTTATCTACATTTAATCGAAGCTTACCGTTAAATCACCAGCCGTGTTATATCCTGTACGCTTGTTGATGCATGTCTTCGCAGCGTTGTAAGCGTCATGATGTTGTTGACACGTATGGTTCCGCCAACGATGTAGTATTATACGTTGTTCTATTAGAACATGTTCATCGAACCCTCAAATCGAAATTAATCGGAATAAGGCTTAGTTCTTATGGATCGTGATGTGAGGTTGACGAATTGAATGGTAGTAAGTCAAGTATAATAACATAATATATATTCTTATGATACACTAATTATACTAATAAGTCGCGTTATGTGATCTACTAGTTTTGAACTGTACTTTAGTAAAAAGTTTTTATTAGTACCTTGAGAGTTATTTAGCTACTAACTATCTGACAAGATGGTTGAAATAATTTGAAAAAAAAAAAGCAAAAAGGAAAGGTAAAACATGCAGGAAAATTTTCCGAGTAAAAGTATACGGAAAGGAAAGTAGTGATCTTTTATTGGTTGTAGATGTGTTCAAATAGTTCGTTTAGTATGCTTAAATAATCGTATGTGCAATCCCTCTTTTTAGGTCATAGCACTGCTGAATGTATAAAAAAAAATAGTTATTTTAAGGGCACGTATAATAATCATATATTTTCGTTCTCTTAAAATAGCTATTTTTATGGCTTCCGGAAAGTTATGTCTCGCTTAGTCTACGAACCTACCTCTTGTGTTTATTGTCTGGTTTTCCATATTCTAATAAATTACAAGCTTAACTAAAAATGTTTAAAACTTGAACAATAGTGAACAATGTATTTTTTATTCAACGAATTTTCACAGTCCAACGAATTCTCACGATCAAATAGTCTACATAATAATATATGACCCTTAAGAGAAAATTTGACCAACAATAACGCCTTTCTAGCATGTTTCTACGATATGCATTTCATATATAAATGCAACATAGTTATAGCTTTTCGACTACAACAATTCAATCGAATATGAAATAGTTTGATAACTACTCTGCACCTTTTTCATTTTTATCTCAATATAAATTTATTGTTGTCATTCTCGATGTATGCATAACATAAAAAAAAAACTGACTCGTTTTTCCTCAATTACATTCGTTATAATATATATATGTTGATCTAGAAGAAACGTACAAAATAATATATACACATCAAAATCAAACATATGTCTTATCTGTAAGCTGGATATTGCTGAAATATTTAAACTATTAACCGATCCTTCCATATGTTCAAAAGCTTGCCAAACTTGATTTTTTTTATTTTTAATCGCTGCTATAGCTTTGAATGTTTATAGATTATTAATAATATCTTTATATAAAATAAGTTGAAAACAAAGTTCATTAACATTCTTGTGATTAATATAAATAGAAAGATATTCGATGTAATGTACATATCTAACAACTAACGATTTACGCTTTCTAGCAAGACTTCGAATTTTAAAGTTTTTTATTTTGATCATACTACAGAGTCTATCGGTATCCATATTCTAAAGACTTGCTACATAATTCTTCTTCAATGGAATTATTGGATATATATTTTATTTACTAAAAGCATAGTGAAATATTTAAATAATTTGATTGATACGAATTAATTGGCGTGTTAACGATTCAACTAGATCTTACAAAATGTCATATCTTTCATGTCATATTTTTCAAAATCTAAAACTTTACTTATTTACACCTCTGTATCATTGCGGTCACTCACCGATGTATATTATGTGTAAGTATATATGATGTATGCATGCAATATTTGTCTATGAGTTACCTCATAAATATTCGCGTGTGTGTGTAATTTGCGAATGTATGATGAATGCATATGCAGGTGCATTTGCGAAAAAAATGAATCCAATATATAAAAATAGTGAAAAATGTAGAGATACAAAGTATAGATCAATATCTTTCCAATTTCCAACGTTAATAAAATTTTTGAAAAGATTTTGCATAAAAGATTAAGAGATTTTTTAAATAAAAATAATATTAAGCTCGTCGTTCAGCTGTTAACATTTATTCCTTATAAACTACTCAATATTTTTTAAAACCTATTTTTTCGAGAATGGCTGAAAGTTACTACCGCGACAAATTAAAGTCGGAATACAGACCTTCACGTGCTATAAATATAAAAATATTACAAAAATCCGGTTCACTTAACTTTTGATTGGAAGATCGGAAATTGTTAATATTAATGTAAATTACATTGTTAATTAAATATTAATAAACAAATGTGTATTATTTTCTTATATTCAAAAAACGAAGAAAACTTTTCGATAGATCTAATAAGTTACTGAAAATCGTGGAAGATAACGAGTGCATACGTGCAGTATTATTTAAAACGTATGGAACACGTGTTATAACTTTACATTTATATCGGTATTCCTATAAGTAATAAGGCAAATTCTATCGAATTTTAAATACGTCAATTAGAATGTCATTAATACAAAGCCTCGCATCGAATTCGTGATACACCAATTGCCCAGGCATAGTCGATCGATAACATGTCCAAGTTCGAAATATTTCATTATCCTGGGGATCCGTTAGAAAATAGCCAATTAACAAGACAATTACAGACTCTACGCAAATTCGCCAACTCCTAATTCATTTGCGGTGTTACCGAACCGTTACTCGAAGACTCATTAAAAGTAACATTCCCTCTGAATAAGCATCTATTGTGACAAAAGACAACATAAAATAAAGTGAGTGAAATAAACATCTATCGTTCTATTAATTGATTTCGTAAAAAAAAAAAGATAAAATAAAATAAAAGAAAAGAAAAGAAAAACATTACGTAATTAAACGAATATTATCTAACGATGTGCTTACAAAAGGAATGGTATCGCAAAAATCATTGGATCATTCTTATTCTCTTTCTGTGCTCCATGTACTTAGCACGTGGGTCAAGGGTGAAAAATATCACCCATGGAGTATCGAGGCACATTCGATCCATCGGATTTCCCGAGGGTAGCGGCATGGGGGTATAGTAAATCAATCATTCATTTTCCATCGACTAATGCGCCTCAACTTGGAGAACATCTCGTTTGCTTCAAATTGATGTCTCCGTGTGTGATTTTCTATCGGATGCATGGTCTCTTGCTTATATAAAATATTTAATCTATTAAAATATCAATAAAACTAAGAATAAGACAAAATTAAACCAAAGAAAAATGAAAAAAGGCATTTCATTGTATGAGCATCGTTTAATTTGTACAGTATGATTATATTAATTACATCGGAAAAACATTAAAAGATAAATCATTTCGGATTCAATTGTGCTATTTGTATATCCTAGTAAAATTGTATTTTTATAAATTTCCTGTTTTTCATTTTTTTATCTTTCACGTAATTCGTTTTTTCGAAAGATATTCTACATAAAAAACTTAAACGATGCTACTATAAATGCATATACAATTGATCGATCTTGTTTTCAGATGTTTTTTGCTCTTGGCGTACCGATTGACATCCCCGACAAGTCCATACTATTCTCCTTTTATTTCGAGGCAAATTATGGTCTACCAAGCGATTGGAATTCGAGCTATTACACCGAAGTAGAACATTTTAAAAGACGAGGTCTCAATAGACGATTGATCTACGATGTAATCACAAAGAAACTAGAAAGGTAATATTATCCTATTCCTATATCCTATTGTTGTCATGATTTTAATACCCGAAATTAATGTAAATATACAAATATATATACAAATATTGAATAGAAATCGATATAATCATTTTTCATAATTACTTAATTTCTATAAAACTATAATTTCCACGATTACAGATCTTACGGTTATTGAGATAATTATATTTGAAGCAATTTACGTATACTTTATTAAACTTTTAAAGATTTATTTATGTTTCTCTCTCTGATAGTAGCGGCTATTCCGGAAAAAATTGTTTGTTAAAAACAATTTGTGAGATTGGTAAATACTCATTGAAAGGAAACGGACTTCTCGGAGATATCGTCCGGATTTTATTTGCGTGAGTTACCTTAAAACTGTAAATTAACTTTCTAATTTGTTTTCAATCCGTTTCTATATCTTTATTTAACATAAATCGTTTAATCGCATCGTTGCATCTTTTCAAAGACCTTCCAGTTCACAAGAGGAAAATCTTCCGGACGAGATAATTAAAGCAGAATTCGAGGAAAATTGCAATCGACGTTATAAGGACTGCGAGAAGAGCCTGTTGGATATTATAAGCTCTTTTGTACATGACGTGGGATAACAAGAAATTTTAATTAAATTATTTACCTATTAAACAAACAATTTACCATCTAAAAATTTCAATATCCTTCTTTTCTTCTCTATTTCCTACAACTTCAACTCCTTTATTATAATATTATATGCGAGAACATATTAATATAAGAAATAAAACGAATGTTATCTTCGTAATATCATAATCATTTGTGAAATAATCAATTGTGAAAAAATTTATATAAACCGCGAAGATGGCAATTTTTAAACTAAACTATATCCTAATAAAGGAAAAATCTCTTTCTCTCTTTCTCTCTCTCTCTCTCTCTCTCTCTTTCTCTCAATTGCATTGATATTGTTAATACGATAAAGATTTGAAATAACAAAATATACACGTCGCAGAACAATTCGTAATATAAATGCCACGTTCTTCTAATTCTAACTTTTATTACATACTGTCGAAGATATTGTTCTATCCACTTGACCCAATGTTCGCATACTGTGGGTTGCGCTTGAAGAAGTGGGTAACATTCTCGTAGACCAAAAAGGTAATCACAGTTGCTGGGGTCACTCTCATAAGGTTGACACTAAGACCCTTGTAAAATCCACGCCAACCTTCACACCTGTAACGAACCACCAGCAATATGATTTTTTGATGATCACCACTACAATAATTTTTCAATGATGTTTATTATCTCGTTTTTTTTTTTTTTTTTTTTTTTTTTTTTTTTTTTTTTTTTTTTTTTTTTTTTTTTTTTTTTTTTTTGTTACAGAATCTAAACCCGCGTACGATTCTTGACATTCAGAATCAGTTCGAATATAATAAACGAGAAATTCGTTGTCATTAATACAAAATTATGTTACATTCGTTCTTATATTTCTAATATCTTGTCAATAAAACATTAAAATCATTATATGAATTTTACAAATGAGACAATCAAAAATCGTACTGCTGGTGGTTTAATAAATTTACCTCATAAATCTACATATATCGGAAATAAAACTCAAATCGTTAAGTGCAAATGCCTTTTCTATCACTTTTATGCTTCTTCATTTTCTATGTGTACCCCTACGTTCAACTTTATTTAATAAAGATATACAACAAAATACGTATACGTATGTATATCGATTACGACGTAACACGTTTTCACATTTACCGAAAGAAATAGTACATCTACGAAACGGATCAGATTTTTCGAATCTATCCATCAATACTTTTGGCCTATATCTTATTTTACATTTACAATGAATGTTTCGTACAATATATATTCTCTATACTTTGAAATAATATACCAAAGGTAAAGAATATACAAATGCGTTTATTGTATCGCTTTGCTACCTTGTGAGCAATCGTATTGCATAAATAAAGCATTTTGAGATTATTGATCCAATTCTTTTTTCATCCTTCCTTCATATCACATTTCGTTAATACACAAGACATGTAACTTTACATAGTTTTTTTCATCTTCAAACATCTATTTTTTTGCTTATTGTATTCTAATGAATGTGTACAAATGTATAATTGGGACATGTGTGCATATTTTAATAAGAAAAAAAAAACGATCGTATTTACGTATAATGGCTAATTTAAAGCCAAGCAAAATGTTTGCACTGTACATAATTTTATTCAATCTTTCACAACATTAAATAAAATGAATGGATGTCTCCTCGACTTGGTGCATTTATCCTTTCAAAACTAAACTTTATTTAAACCTATGAAAACTGATATAAATAAATTCATCCTATTATGTACACAAAAGTGTGACATTGAATCATATTGCTAACCTTCATACATTTAGAGTACCAGACTCTAAGACACAAACATATTGTTTTTCTAACTTCTTGCTTCTATATTATCAAAGTCTGTTGTTCTTTATTTAACGATAACTCGTTTCCAAAACTAACGCGTATTAAAATATGTGCATTTATTCGTAATCTCAAAATAACATGAACATAAAAGATTTTAGTAAATTCCTAATTTATAACAATATATATAACAATAAATTAAAGCAACAATTTGTGCGTAATATTATACAAATATGATTAAAAGAAAATTAAATAAACAAATTTTTAATTAGATAAGCAGAAACTATTTGAGTAAAGAAAAGTTATGCATGCTCTTTTAATACCTTGTTACTACTTAATTATTATTATCGTATTTTTAATAAACAACGTAACAAGTCGCGAATTAGAATTTAACGTGAAAATGTCTCTGTATAGATAATTTATAATTAAAACTAAATTTAAATATTACGAAACAAAGTTTGTGTAATCTTTTGCTAACTATTCCGTGCTATTGACAGATTAAATAATTAATATTTTGTTCATAGTCATTTCTTCTTACGATTATCATTCACATTATTTTTCATACGCTTCTATGGCTCGTTCTTATTTTTTCAAATATTAATAGATAATGGTTATTGTTATTATCATAATCGAACTATCATTTACTAATCCCTTTGTAATTAAAGCATTTCCAACTAAAACCAGTTTAGTTGAAAGTAAAAGCATATTATAATTTTTTTTCTTTTTTCTATGTTTTTTTTTAATAAACTGGTAATTGTAATAAGTAAAGTAAGTGGGCTCTCTCTCTCTCTCTCTCTCTCTCTCTCTCTCTCTCTCTCTCGCTCTTTCTTTCTCTCTCTCTCCCTCCCTCTCTCACCATATCTCATTCATATAAAATAAAAGTGCACCGCTTAAATCTTCTTCCAAACCAATTATAAACTACAATATGTAACAGAATTTAGATTTAAGCGTCATTTTGGTTAAAGTACATCGTTAAATATGAGTGGAGATTGTCAGAGTTTAACATTAATAAGTTTAAGATATACTTTTTTTTGGAAATATTAGAACCAAAAGTAAAATGACTAAATATTTAATTTAAATAATAACAGTCTCTCAAAGTCGCAGATAAAATAATAAATGAATAAATAAAAACCTATATTAGTCTATTGTATCTATGTTTCGTAGCATATGCCATCACAACTTTCACAAACTCTCGTGTCTCTAATTATAACCTAAAATTACCTAACAGCATGCACGAGTATTATGAAATAGTAATAGCACATACCATCTACAATTGATAATATCATCTTCTTAATGAAAAATAAGTCAGGATGATAATATCAAAGTTTGAGAGTAAAATCTCGATTTTCTTTATCCACACAACATTAGCAGATTTCTCACAGTGTTTAAGAATAATCTTAAATAATGAGATAAGAAATTTTTTAATTATTTTATGTGCTCACGGCCAAACGACACATTGTGATGCGAGATTGTGTTATTAATTCATCTTTTAAAATCGAAAACAATCAGAGTGTGTCGTAAAACATAATTGTTTTTGTCATGAATGAAGTAGCTAATCATTTTATATCTCCAATTACTAAAAACATTTTATATCATCATTTCACTCGATACTTTTTTTTATCTCCCTCTGTGTGACCAGAGAATAAAACATATTTGACTTCTTTTATAGTCACACTTCTTTCAACAACCTACATTTATATACATTCATATTAGGAATCGATAATTACTGTTAATACCAATGATGTTTTATATAATTGTTAAAATCTAATGCGCTATGGCAGAAGCATCCACATAATGAAGTGCACTGTTTGTGTGAAAACTTATTAAAAGATGTTTATACGATAATACTGATCCTCTTTTAAGTAATTATTAAGAAATGTTATTATTTATAAAAAAAAAAAAAAGGAGAAAAAAGAAAATAAAACAATGACAAACAAATGACAAAAATCTATCTTTTCAATGAGAAACCTATCGAATCAATGAGAAAGGTGATCGAATTAATCATTCAGAAATGTTACTCTTTCTATCACTCGTAATCAAGAAAAATACATGTCAGTAGATCCTTCCGCCATTTAAGCAATAGAGTTAGACATCTACAGAGGACATTTATATCAATAAGATATTTCCAAGGAAAATTATTCTGAAAGTTTTTCGTAAGCGAAAAAAATTACGCAGATATTTGGTGTAACATGTATAAGATAAGGCGATAAGCCTTTATAAAAACCCCTGAATCCTTCTGACCTCCATGTCACCTGGACGCAGTGCCACGTTCCTCTGTAGTCAAGATGATGATCTTGCAAACGCGCCCTTAATACCTGATAAGGATATGTTACAGCAGCTGCAATTACCTTAGAAACGGCAGCAAAAAGGATATATTCGAACATGTTCTGAAAATAAAAATTTATTTTCATAAGTTTATTCGTATTTTATATCAAGATTTATAATATAGTGCCAAATATAAATATATATATATATATATATATATATATATATATATATATACTAAGTATATATATATATTATAGGTTATAAGTTAGTATATATATATATATATATATATATATATATATATATATATATATATTATAAGTTAGTATATATATATATATTATAAGTTAGTATATATATATATATATATATACTAACTCGGCAAGAAATATTCTATTAGCAAAATCTGCAGAGTACTCTTAATTATTCGTTTATCAAATAACATTATGTTTAAAAACTTACCAGTTTTGTGTCGATAGGTACGTTTTGGTATATATTATATTTATTTTTCATTTCTTCGTATGTCATAAATTGTATGGCACCATGTGATACACCAAACATTCCAGGAACTAAACCCTGTAACCAACAATTAAACAATGACATTCTTTTGGTTTATCAAAAACATAAACAATTATAATTAGATATGATTATTGAGATATTTTCTATTTGATTATGCAAATAAGTCATATTACAACTATCTTAGAAACTATCTTATTGCTTCTACTTATTTATATAATAAAGAAAAAACAAGAAAAAATATACCTTATATAAACCCCTAATTCCTTCGGTTCTATAGATCTTTAACAGGGCATCTGTCACTCCTGTGTATCTCTTTGATTCTGCAAGATTTTTATCTTCAACATATTGTAAACATAATCGTGTTTTCACTACCCATATTGGATTAGTCATCAACAAAGTTAATATTCCTGCATCTGCAGCAGCTAGCATATGCATTGATGGACCTAATGGTTTCTTCGCATTTCCTCCTTGAATCCATGTCTTTATGTTATTGTAACTGTGAAGAAAAAGTAAAGGCAAATTAATTTATTATTATTATTATTATTATTATTATATTGAATGGATTAATACAATGATAATTGTGATATAAAAAAACGGATATGTATTCAAAATCATTTATATATTATCATGTTAAATATATATAATGCGATCATATTCTCCTGAGATAGTAGAGGGATTAAAAAGTGTAAAATAAAAAAGAGATTATATTATTAGAATGAGAGACGATTCCTTACAAAAAGAAATATAATCCCCAAGAGCAGCCTGATCCCAAGACGTTCGGTGTCACTCCTCTGTAGAATCCACGTATTCCTTCACTTTTCATAATCTGCTTGAAGGCAGATACTATACCAGTGTATTGTGGTATTGAGCTACGTCCATCGTTAACTAAAAAAAAAATTTTTTTTGATAAAAATTAGAAAAGATTGAGGAAAAATTTGTCAAATTTAAATAGCAAATGTTTTCCTTTCGCGACAAATAATTGTTTTCATTCTACTTAAATAAGCAAAATTATCTTCTATCTTTCATTTCCTTCTTACCATCAAACGATAATACATCATTTTAACTAAGTAATAAACGACTAACCTTCGTCTGTTTCCTCAATCAATCAACCGAAACAATGAAAGATAGCTTTGAAATTGTAATACTCTGCTATAGTTGAAAAAAATATTTATAAATCGATTTTTCATTATCACGTGTCATCGAGGTTTATCGTAAAACACAGAATCGTATTACAACATCGGCTTTAATGTTATGATAAAGGCTCGAAGTTCTTTCGTTTAAACAATAACCTATTTATAAGTATCACAACGGTCGATATGCAAACGTCGATAAGTTAATCACATGTTATCAACTTTCTTTTTCTCATTGTAATCTTCAAAATTCGAACGGCTACGATATTATCACGAATGTTATCAATAACCGATAAACCTAGAAAATGAGTCAATAATACTTTTAATCTTTTGTTCTCTAATAAAATTTTGATGAAAAATATTCGCTTCCATATATTCTACTTTTTCTTCTAGCATTTTTTTTTTTTTTTTCAAATAATTATTCAACGAAACTGTATATGATAATTTTCATAATTAAGGATTAAAAAATAGCAATGAAATATGATTCGAGAGAAATGAATAAAATCCGAAAAATTGATCTTGCAATACGATTTGCAAATTCTATTGTCGGACGATTATTTACTTTCGCTATTACGCGTGCTAGAGAACGGCATACTACCCTACGGGTCATTAATTTTCACGTGCTTCTGACGTAATAAGTGGAATTTCTTGCATTTTGATTATCAGCCAACGAATTTCACGACAAAAATATACGCATCCGTACAAAAACAGAAATAAGTGACATTGACATGAAAAAAAATAACGAAAAATAAGAGATAGAAAATATTTTAATAAAACTGCGTCACATTAACGTAGGCATGATATTGTTAGTTAGATCACATGTTCATTGAGCAAGCGAAAGCTCTGACAAAATTTACGTCATTCTTCGGCATAGCATCACAAAAAATAGAATATTTATACATATACACTCGTTTTTCTATTTAAATGAATCTACCAGTTTGAACAAAATAATATTAAAAAAAAAATAATAATAAATAGAAATCAATATACATAAATTCTATAAATAGTTATTTGTATATATATTTTTAAGAAGCATGGAGAAGTAAATATTTTATCGCTTGTAGATAAGCAAAAAATATCAAAATAATTAGTAAAATTAAATAAGAATTTTACGACTAATTGATTTATAATAAATTTAAAACGAATATTATAGAAAAATATATTTCCTGACTGTATAAATAAAGAAATGTGCGTGTGTGTGTTGTATATATATATATATATTTTATTTGATTGAATATATATATATATATATATAAGATTTTACATATTAATGCTCACCTGCCAATCTAATTTTGATTAGATCCAATGGATGAAGGGTGAGTGTCGAAACAACGCCACCGGATATACCGGCGACGAAATACTCATACTTGAAACGACTAAGAGCTGGTAGGATATGATTCGTTCCTGTCGTATTACTCGTTTTTATCGTCGACATGGTCGCGTCAACGTTATGACATTCACTATTCGCTATCGATTCTTCAACTTCAATTGCAATGGCATCCTCACCGGTACTACTAGCGATGTACGTCTCCAATCTTCGGCATATCTCTTGGTCCGCGACAGGCACTGTTCTCGAGTTGACGATGCCTAAAAATAAAAAAGAATTTCCCCGCGTGTTGTTGTCCCGTTTATCTTCTCTTTCTTCTTCCACGATTTTAACTTTATTCTCCTTCTTTCTCAAATACACTATTTCCTGTCTTCTTTCCTTTCTCTCTTTTTGCTCTTTTCTTCCAATTTTATTCTCTTACGTAGTTACGTAACATAGCACATAACACACTCGTCGAATTCCGCCATACTGAAAAGACAAGAGGAATATGTTCGATTCGAAGCTCATGCGCGTACCAACGCTCGACGATCGCGAACGTTGCCGACTTCGAACGAAGATAACCGAACGCAGCTACCTCTGCGATGTTAGCGTCATCAGGATGAAATCGTTACTTCTATAAACTACCCAAAGTTATGAAATGATACAGTCAATAAAGAAAATTTCTTTTTTCACGTTTCTCACTTCTTTACGTTCTTTTTTTATCACATTTGGGTTATGCTTCTCGATTTAATTTTTTTCATATCAATAATTCCTATCATAATGTCTATGATTAAATAAATATTTGCAATATTTTTAGACGAATCAATACTCTGATATTAGCTTATTATTTTTAGAAAAAAAGTAAAGAATAAAAGTAGAATGAATTTTCAATTGTAATATATTTACATATATAAATTGAGCTTAAAATTAAATCTTATGTATATTTATCCATCGAATTAAGCAGTTTATTAGAATTAATATAGACTACATATACTTTCCGTAACAGTAAGGTTACAATCAATCACGTTGTTCGATTCGTTCATTGGTACAAGTAGCTATAGTGGTTGAAAAATTAACATGTTGAATTTGTACTAATACGGTTCTTACGAATAACCAATCAGATTGCAAAGTTGTCTAAGGTTCAGTTTAGCACGATAAACGAAACATTCATACAATTTTAAATGTATAAATTTGTACTTACTCATCCAAAGATAATATAATGCAAAATCCACAATTGATAAATTTACTCTTCAAATTTACAAAATATTTTTTGAATATTTAGAATAATTCACTTCTATAACATAACTACAGCGAATAAAGTCAAACTCGTCGTTATAATGTTGTAATGTAGCTAAAAAAGTAATTTCCTAAGAAATAATTTATCTGAGTGAGATCAGTTGATCTTCTCACGCCATTTTCTACTTTCATAAGAACGGTTCTAAAAATTCTAGGGAATAAAATAGAGGATAAATTAAGGAATACATTTTTACTCAAATTAAAAATTTTAATTTGTTAGTGAAGAATGTTTCTCTCTAATGAATAAAATTTTTTTCTTAAATTTTTAATGATTGTCGTTTGGTGTCCGTATTCAATATCCGAAATTTTTTAGGAATTTTTTATCCGTAATTCAAATACTATCTAAATGTAACCCTGACGCCTATGCTATTTTACTATTATCAATTTCAAGTATGTTGTATAACCTATAAAATTATTAACATTTATATTTATTGTAAATAATATTGATAATTCTATATTGTATTGATATATATATATTTTTCTTGGAAATGGAATTTATTAACAAACAAATTAGATTTCTCTTCAGTCGAAGAAATTTACTGAACAAGCAAATAATAAATAAAATACAGAGGATAAGTACACAATTAAAATCAAATGAAATAAAAGAAACTTTATTTCCATTGTTGGATGCAAACTATCCATCACAGGATTTATGTTTTAATATACGTAATGATATAATTAATAAACATTCTGTGCCTGAACATACTGTAGATATACAAATCTTTGAAATATTTATGATAGAGAAAAAATTTGAAACTGCTAAAGTTTACTTCAAATATTTAAAAAGCAAAAATTATCCTCTTAGTAATTTTGTTCTGATAAAATATCTGCAACTACTCAGTGCAGACCAAAAGCCGCTATCGAATTTTGAAGAGGAAGAAGTTTTACATATATGTGATGTAATAAAAAAGAAATATGAATGTATACCTTCCTCGATTTTATTCATTTGTGTTCATGTTTTATGTTTGACTAGTAAATGGGAAACAGTATTTGATTTAATTAAATTTAGTAGCGAAAATATAAATTCCAAAACAATGTCATACATAGCAGTAGCAGCATTTCGAAATGGAAAACCAAACATTGGATTTGAATTTATAAGTGAAATAGAGTCTAATACGCAAGATATGTTTGGACGTCAATATATATATGATCAATATTTGAATCATTATATAGAACATAAAGATAAATTGAATAATGCAATTGAAAAAATGTTTCATTTTTGGAGAAAACATGATATAATACCAAAACAGTCTATTGTTAATAATTTTGTAGATACTTGTCAAAAGTCAGGATGGGAGGCACATTATACTAAAATTATATTAGAGTATGATATATTAATATTTTAATTTTAATTTTGAAGTTTATTTCTATTCTAATATATAAAATAAATCAATTTTTTATTCATTGTAGTGGGAAATGCAGTCATTGTAATAATCATTTAGCACCAATGGTTTTAGGGGATAGTTTTCACAAACTATTTAAGTCTGTGTTATCTGAAATAGTAATAGGTCATGATATTTTTCAAAAGACCACTCCAAGTGAATTTAATAAATTTAAACAATTTATTGATAAAACGAAGCCATTTGACATTGTGGTAGATAGTCTTAATATGACATATGGAATATACAGAAATTCATCGGTAAGTGTAAAAACTTTAGAATAAATATATATATATAAATTAAAATAATAATAAATAATATTTTTTTACATATTCAGTTGCAATACATGATGTCAAAATTTATTAAAGAAAATAAAAAAATTCTGGTCATTGCACGGAAACACCAATATAATTCAATTAAATGGATGTTTAACCTAGATAATGTATTAGTTTATTTCTTTCAAAATATGTAAGTTATACTTATATTACATAAGATAGCTTATGGATTTTATTGTAATATTATAAATTATATTGCAAACCAATATATTAATATGTTACAGAATATATTAATATATTATACATTACATACGAACATATTATACATTACATTGCGAACCAATATATTAATATGTTACAGAACAGATGATGATTCCTATATCTTATATGCAACTTTAGTAAGTGGAAATAAAGCGAAATTTATATCTTTAGATCTGCAGCGACAACATTATCATAAACTCAAAGATGTGGATATACAGAAAATATTTATACGGTGGCAATTTACACATCAATATACTTGGAGTCGAGTGAATTCAAAGAAACATATTTTGATCGACCCTATATCATATAATCCTTTTGCACAAGTTATAAACGGACATTGGCATATTCCTTATAAGGAGACAAATAAATTATTGCATAAGCCTGTTGATACATGGGTTTGCTTACATCGTTCAAAAAAATGATTTAATAATAAGTATATTCGTATCATTAAATTTATCAATCTTTTTTTATATGGAATTCAGATTTAGTAATATTTCATTACTAATGTGAATTAGCAATATTAGCATAATAATTTAAATGTATTTTCAAGTATCAGTGCATTAAAATATTCTATTAAAAAGTACAAGATTTGATGGTTAAATATAAAGTAAAGACTTTCTAAAAATCTTTTACATTTTAATTTAACAATTAACAGTGTTTTATTTTGATTTTTAGAAACAAAGGTTAGAATATTGTCAAATTAACTAATAATTAAAAGAATGCAAATTAATAGTTTTGTGATTGGAGAATACATTTTTACTCAAATAAATGACTTCTTCAATGAAATAATTATATAGTTAATTTGTCACAACTGAGAAAATTTTAAAATAATGTTCATTGTAAGATTATATAATAGCGCATTTATCATTGTTTTAACAATAATAATAATTATTTACGTATTTATGTACACTGCTTTTTTTATACATGTGAAACATGAGATCACGTTGAAAACTTAATCAACGATTCCGCCATTGTGGATAGAGAGTATGTGAAATATTGTAAGATGGCGTGTCGATCAGGGTAGGTATCGCGTAAGGGACAAAATAAGTACACGATACACAGTTCGTGCACATTTTTTGGTGCGCGCGTGTGTCAGAGCAACAGGTGTCGCGGTCTTTCGCCTTTCTCGGCTATTTCTTTCTGACCTTGAGGCACGCGAGTATCGTGGTTTTCAACGACGCCAACGTGAAAACGTAAAACATATGAATTTTCGTCAAGGAATGTGTATATTTGATTGATTGTCGTGTGTCATCAAGTAGTGTCATCCTATCATCGAGACATAATTGAACTTGTATAATGTACATTATATCATAGGAAAAACCGATGCTTTCTATGGTAAGTACGACATTTTTTATTTTTATCTTTTATATCTATCTTTAATCTATGTAACTTCAGGATAAATCATTATGACGATTTACGCTTATTATTTAGTCCTGCCAATTGAAATTATCTTTGTTCGAAAGTTTTGAAGTATAAGGTATACGTCATGATGCGCTCATACCACGCGCCATTTTCATTTGTCACACGTGAGATTCGAAAATCGCGGGATTTTCTTGTTCAATCACGAATCTTTTTTGAACAATCCTAGTGACGTAGTCGATCGATAAAAATCTTCAAACAGTCTAATCATCTCGATTCATTTGCTATTTTCATAGGATTCTTACGTGTCGACTAAGGAACATTTGGAAATATTCGTTGAAAATTTGAAGACGGTTATTTCGTAAGCTTCCAATATGGCCGACGACGATGCTGTCATCTTAGACGAGTCCAAAACATGAGGCATGTAGAATTCGGTTAACGATTCGTCGTCGTCGTCCCGATATCGGTCTTACGTTTTAATTATTTGAGATGTTTTTTTCAGAAATTTTAGAGGAAAATGAACGATTAATAATATTACAGTGCATGTGTGTGAATTGAATGAAATACAGTTCAGAAAGTGTGTACGTGCATGTATAGATATGTGTATGCGCCAAGAGTATCGATCGAACGAGGTCAAGATCTACAAGATTGATTTATCTTTGATGACATTTTCGTTCGTGCTAAAGGATATGTTTATATAGTAAGTTTATATTTCGATTTTTAATACTATGTAATCGCGTGCGTTATCGAATATTGTCCTGTGTAATAGATAGGTGGCAGCAAAGGTACCGCATGCTTTCAATATTTTATACAATATATCTTTTTCGTTCTCTTTTCTTTGTTTGTCGTTCGTTTCTTTCTTTTTTTTCTTTCTATATCTAAGAAAAATATACAAATTATCAAAACATTTACCTGCTAAAATTAATTACTACTTGTCATTATTAAAAAAGGAGTTATATTTATCGTCATTATTAAGAAAGAAGTTATATTTGTAATCATATTTTAATTGATATTTTGATATTTAAAAGAAAAAGAAAAAAAAAGAGAAAAAAAAAGGAAAAAAAAGAAAAAAGAAAGAGAAAGGAAGAAACAAAATCGATATAAGACAAAGTCATAGAATTATTTTGAAAATTAGGTGAAGTTATCGTCGTCGAGGTCTCGAAAGCTCACATGCGCAAAATTATTTTCGGCGAAAGTCTTGCGATCCAACCCGACGTAGAGCCAATCAGCAGATAGAGGGAGAGAGAGAGGGAGAGAGAGAGGGAGAGAGAGAGGGAGAGAGAGAGGGAGAGAGAAAGAGATAGAGATAGAGAAAGTGAGAAAGTGGGGGAGGAAGAGAGAAGAGAAGAGAAAAGAAGAGGAAGGAACGTTCGTTGCTCCGAATTCTCATATCGAAGAGATACCAATCATTCGTTTCCATTTAAACTCCCATCTTCGGCGATATACGAGACTTCTAAGAAGTGACTCAACCTCGGGAATACGTATGGGATTCTGGGAACGTGCCTTCTAGATTTTTTTAGTATTAATTATAAATTACTAAAAGGATGATGAATGTTCATCAACAATCGTAAACTTCTCAAGAAATATTTTATTAGTTCACGTAGAATTCGCTTCGTCTCTTTCTTCTTGATCAGAATCGTTCATTGAGTTCTCCTTCGGCAGCCTTTGACACGTTTTATTATTGCTTTGATCTATTTAACAGGGAAATGAAACACGCTAGGCTTAACGAGTCTCGCGAGTAAAATATGTATCACAATTGAGAAATTGACTGGAAAAAAGGATATTATTTTTTTAACAAATGATTATTTTCGTTAAATTATTTTTATATGTAAAAGTATTCTTCTATTGTATTATAAATTAGCACGAAAATCATATCGTTAGATATTTAATTTTTGAGCAGAGATAGAGACACGTGATAGTTTGAATTTAAATTTGGACATATTATCCTAAACGGGATGTATAGGTACGTACTTTATTTACCAAAAAAATTAGAAAATTTTAAAGATTAATAAATTGTTTGGAACGTTAAGAATTGTAGGCATACGAAAATAATTTATTTAGAACAAAAGAAGATTGAAGCATAAATAAAGTGGAGAAGAAAATGATTTAAAATATTAATTATTTTGTTGCTTACATTTTTGTTTCGTTTTATAGTTTTTTATTTGTTAATATAATTTTTAATACTTTTTAAAGAGTTGTTTATATTAAATAACAAAAAAGTAAATGAAGATTGTTATGTAATTTTTTTTTATTTTTCAGATTTATGGAAAAAGAGCATTTATATTTCTATTAAAAACAATATTTTTTTCCTATAATAAAGAAGAGCTGTGCTAATTTAAAAAATTAATTTATTACAATAATAAAGAAATCTATAATTTATAGTATTTTATCTTCCATAAAAGTAAAATTACTAAGATCTATGAGACACTTGTATTACAAAATGACTTTTTCAAAGAAGTTAAAGAAAAAATATATAGTTGTAGTACATACAGATAAGTGTCTATAAAAAATTTTTTTCTTCAGAGCAAGAAAAAGAGAGAAAAAGAGAGACAATAGCTATAAAGAGTTTCACGAGTGAAATCATCTACAATTAAAATCAGAGAAAGTATATAGTTATAAAATACAAAGATAAATAACTTTTTCCTTTAGCGAGTGAAATAGTACAATTTAAAAATCGAATATATATCTTAAATAAACTTCCTTGATAAAAATTTTAAAAATCAATGTAAACGAGGAACTATAACTTGTTAATCCTTCAATCCAATTTCAATTTATTTAGACACAAAAGAAAGTACATACTATATATGTAAAAACGTATCGATTGACAGCCGAATACGTTTGAGGATGGAAATTAAATTTTAATGTTTCTATGAATGTTATATCTCAAAAAATAAAAATAGTTTTATATTAGTGATATATATATACTTTGAGATTTTTTTTCTGTTTATTTATTTGTTTATTTTTGTTTTTAATCACAGATTTACAATCTACTCTATTCTTAAAGGAGGTTTCTTGAGATTATGTTTAGTTCACAGAGAGATTGCTGATAAAGTTTTAAATTGGATTAGCGAGAAAATTATTCAATCGGTCAGTTCCAATCGAGAGCACGTTCTTATTCGTGTCCGTGAACGATAGCAGATAAAGATTCTCTTTGTTGAAGAAGAAGTTCGAAGAGACGCGCGTTAAACGCTGTGACAAATGGCCACGCGCGACTCGTTCGACCTTCGACGAATTTACTTTACGTTTATTTCGCGTCGAGTTCACTTAAAGGTGAACTAGAAGGTACAAGAAACCGACAGGTAGTCGCGTGTCAGGTGTTGACGGTTCACGTTTCCTCCGAGAAACGCTTACCTTGTTAACCCATAACTGCTGACACCATCAGAGCTCCTCATCGAGTCGACCATTCCGAAACAATTTTGTTTTGCTTTTTTTTTCTTCCTTTAATCACTTTTATGATGATTACCATGATATAAGATTTTTATCAAAGAAATCGATTCTCAAATTCATGATAAGATGAATAACAGGATAGAGAAATGAGGCTTATAATCTCAAAAATCAATTTAAAATATATTATTATTATTATTATTATTATTATTATTATTATTATTATTATTATTATTATTAATTATTTATTATTTTAATGACAAATAAAAAAGAACAGACTCTATTTGTTCGAAACGAGACGTGATTGCTATTTAAGTTCGTTCAAAAATGTGTTATATCGTATGAAAGTTCATTTGAGAAAAAATTAAAAGAAGAGTATGCAGTAATTAACAGTATTTAAAAAAAAAAGTAAATGAAATGGAAAGAGATCGAGGTAAATCAAGGTGCTCTTCGTTTATACGATTAGTCCACGCATTGTTTACTGCTTCAATTGAATTTTTCTCTCCCTTTTGCAGCAAGTACAATACAATACATCGAACGAACCCCGACGAAAGGGGTTGCTTTTTGAAAGAGCAATTAATATTATGAGCTAAATATCGTTGGAAAAGTGAACGGCCAACTCGTACATATACATATATAAATACAGAAATACGTACACATACATACTTATATTGTAGTATCGATTCGAGTTAGAGACGGAACCCGTTTTCCCGCGTTGGCGTTATAAAAATGTCGAACCTACGCGGATTTCACGCATTTGGTCAGTTTGACGAGGACGACGACGATTGCCTTTGGAAAGAGATACGTTAGGCAGGTTATTGTGGGCACACACTTTGCATAACTGAGAAACGTGTTATTTGTTTGATCGGACTCGGCCAATGGGATCGAACGAGGAAACGAATAGTTCTCTTTCATAAATCAGTCGACTTGCACCTATCGCCGTGTCTATTACTTTCGATATCGAAAGAAGAAGTCTTAATTAACACATTGTTGATCTGTTATGTGTACATACCTGTTTTTATATATACATTAGTTTATACAGTTAT